GTTCTATTTGCGAAATCCAATGAAAACTAGAATTAATATAATATATGTGGGTTTATTAAATGATTAAAATTAAAGCTAAAGCTATATAATAGAATATAATATAATATCGTATCGTAATATTAATTAAATAATAACATACAAAAGCAAATTAAATTAGCAAAATATATTTATATCATTTCCTTGTCATGTTTTTAAAATCATTATATTTGGTCAAATTTGAAATTGTTCAGGAAGAAAAGGGACTTTGTTTATGGGTCATCTTGGCAATTATTTAAGCTTTTTGAACCATGATTAGATCTCAAATGTTAAAATTCTATAGATTAAACATTTATGCTAGCTTACTATTTCTCTCTGCTAAACATGCCAAAGGCATCCTGTGAGTGCCATAGGGGCAAGTAACACAAGGGGGGTTTTGGGGGATCTCCCCCATAAAATTGTGAAAATTTAAGTCAATTACCTGGCATTTGAGGTCATAGCTGCGAGCAAATTCTTATGAACGCAAGGATCAGAAATTGGACAGAATCTAGAGATCTGCCTGTCAATTCTGCCTGTTTTGTGATAGTTAGTACAAGACCACAGCTGAGTGAAAGAATGATGTCATAATGGAGCAAGCCCCATGCCCTGAAACAATTTTAGATATTGATGCATAATATTTAAAATACTGAGCACTAATTTTTTGGGACTGGGTCTGAGGGTTACTGCAGATTCAAAATGTCATCTCCAAGTTTTCCCATTCAAAAGTGCGAATCAACCAATGTGGTTAAGAATAATTACAAAAGCATCGCTAACGCTGCAATATACGTCCACATTCCAGCTTTGATTAATATGGTACTTTTTAAAATGAAGAGAATGAAATATGAAATGGCTGTAATATGACAAGAGGCAAAGAAGGCAAGGTGTTGGGTTTGTTTTGCCAAATTTACAGACAAAATATTAACAAAAAAAGTGGGTATCATACTGCTCCAGGAAGTCGGGGCATATACCAAAATAAATAGTTGCTGTCTTTACGGTATAAGGATTAAATATGCAAAGTTCCAAGATGATCCATTCAGAATTGCAGCCTGTAGATGATAAATACAAAAATCGGGTGTGGCTCTGCTCCTGGGGGTTGAATATGGAACAATATAAATAGGCACCACCCTGTTATTGAAATGACAACATCAAAAGCTGCCGTCCTTAGGGTATAAGGAATAAGTATACCAAGTTCCAAGATAATCCATTCAGTATTCAAGATAATCCATTCACCAAAATCAATAGTTGACGTCCTTAGGTCATAAGGAATACATATGCCAAGTACCAAGTTGATCCATTCAGAATTGCGGCCTGTAAACGATAAACACAAAAATTGGGCGTGGCTCTTCCCCTGGTGGTCGGGACATGCAGTTGTCATCCTTAGGGTATAAGAAATAGGTATGCAAAGTTTCAAAAGAATCTGTTAAGAATTGTGGCCTGTAGGCGAAACACAAACATTGGGCGTGGCTCTGTCCCTGGGGGTCGGGCAAGCACCAAAAATAGGGATGTTCCTTAGGATAGAAGGAATAAGTTTCAAGGTAATATGTTAAGAAATTTGGTCTGTAGATGACAAACAAATAAATACAAGAAATGGGCGTGGCTCTGCCACTGGGGGGCGGGCATGCACCAAAAACAATGGGGGTCATCCTTAGGGTATAAGGAATTCATACGCAAATTTTTCAAGACGATCGATTAATAATTGTGGCCTGTAGGCGATACACAGACACACAAAAAGAAAATGGGCGTGGCTCTGCCCCTGGGGGTCATCCTTAGGGTATAAGGAATTCATACGCAAATTTTTCAAGACGATCGATTAATAATTGTGGCCTGTAGGCGATACACAGACACACAAAAAGAAAATGGGCGTGGCTCTGCCCCTGGGAGTTGGGCGTGCACACCAAACGATAGGGCTGTTCCTTAGGGTACAAAGAATAAGTATGCAAAGTTTCAAGATGATACGTTAAGAAATGCAGCCTGTCCATGCCCACTGGGGGTCGGGCATGCACCAAAAACAATAGGGATCATCTTTAAGGTATAAGGAATAAGTATGTAAAGTTTCAAGACGATAAGTCAAGCATTGCGCCCTGTAGGCAACATACAGACACCCAAAAAGAAAATGGGCGTGGCTCTGCCCCTGGGGGTTGGGCATGTACCAAAAACAATAGTGATGATCCTTAGGGTATAAGGAATAAATATGCAAAGTTTGAAGTGGATTCGATAAGAAATGCGACCTGTAGACGACAAACAAAGAAATACAAAAAAAGGGTGTGGCTCTGCCCTTGGGGGTTGGGCAATGGGCATGCACCAAAAAGAATAGGGAACATCCTTAGGGTATAAGGAGTAAGTATGTAAAGTTTCAAGACTATCAGTTAAGAATTGCGGTCTGTAGGTGACACACATACAGACACACACACACACACACAGACAAGAGACATTATGAATGTGGACGTATAGTATAATAAAGTACAAAAACCTTCACATGTAATGCAGAATGTCATATTTCTTAAGATAAATAAATATAAAAATATTTCTATAAAAAACCAGCGGCTGCCAGACAGGATAAGTCCACATTTTGCAAGAGATGGATAGAGAACAAGCTGAACAAAAAGTGATTTTTTCGTAAAATCAAGGGCCATAATTCAGGAAGTTATGGTACGATATGCACGCATACATACAAGAACCAAGATCTTTGGGTTATAAAGATATATTTCAAGTTTCATCAAAATCGGATCAACATCGCGACTTCAAGAGGGTCGACAACCTTGATATATTTACACTATTTGCGTACGAGGGGTGGCCATTTTGTCCGGCAGTTTTGGTCCGATTTTCACGAAATTCTAACTTAGCCATCATTAGGGTGTAACGGTGAAATATTCAAATGTTTTTTTCAATCGGATAAAAATTGTGACCTCAAGAGGAACCACAAACTAAAAACGCGAAGTTATGATCCGATATGTGCAAATATTGAAAGGAACCAAGATCATTGGGTTATAAACATGCATTTTAAGTTTCATCAAAATCAGATGAAAATTGTGACCTCTAGAGTGTTCAGAAGCTAAAAACGTGATTTTTCTTACAATCAGGGGCCATAATCCATGAAGTTATCGTCCGATATATGCCAATATCGAAAGGAACCGAGATCTTTGAGAGACAGACCTATATTTTAAGTTTCATCGTAATCGGATAAAAATTGTGACCTGTTGAGTGTTCACAAACAAATTGTTGACGGATGGACAAACAAGGGCGACGGCATAATACGTCCACATGAAAATGTGGGCGTATAAAAATGTACAAAAAGCACTTTCAACCAACCTATGATCCACATTTATTAGGCTAAACATCCATGGCTGAGATAAGGAGTGGAAGTGAATAATTTAGAATTCTATACAGTACAGATATCTCGGAAATAGAATCACCTTTAAATTCCATAGATACTTTTGATTTGCTTGTAAGACACAAATTTGATTTTTTCATGGAAAAATTGGGAAATATTTTAAGTTTATATTGGTCTGACACTGCCATCTTTATCTCTCTCTCAAACAAACATAGTAATAATAAACTGCCAGGTTTTTTTCCCCTAAAAATCAGTCATGGAGTATATCCTGTTTTGGGGAAGAGGTCTTGGATTCATACCAGAATAATGTGTCTATTTCTAATGAAATGCGTATATAATTCCTGATGATTTATTGCAAACATAATGAAAGTTACACATTAAAAATCAATTTCTTAAAGAGTCTAGATAACATTTCTAAGGCAATACTAAAGTAACATGTAAAAATTATAATACTTTATAAAATAAATTGTGGTTGTTAGATTTCTGATGATGATCCACCAATGGCTCCCCCTTTAGCCCCTGACATTAATTTATCTGTTTCATCATAATGACATTCAGCACTTGTATCAACAATAACATAAGTACTTTCAATATTTCGTTTCTGTGGACCTGTTTTGTGTTCTAGTTTTTGTATCATATTACTAATTTCATTCACAAGATCACTAAAAGCAGGTCGACCTTGTGGATTTGCATTCCAACATTGTCTCATGATCTCAAACCTGAAATAAAGTAAAAGACAGGATTTTTTTTTTTATTTGTGCAAGCGTAAGATTGAGTCTACAGTAAATATGATAATTTTATTTTATTGTGCTAATGATTTAGTAATTAATAGGTGCAAGCCCAGATCTCTCAGGATATACTTTGATAAAGGTCGGTTTAAGTAAGAAAATCAAACACCAACGTGTGGAAAAAATAGCCCAATTACCAAGTCTTAAATTTTCGAACCAAAACCATTTGGAAATGATCACTACATTTTCTTAACAGAGCCATACATTTAAGAAATTTTACTGTTCAATTGTATAGGTGTCTTGCAATTTATAAACATGACAATCAGTTGCCACCTTAATTTCTGCAAAGATATAGCTATGATAATCAAGGCACTTCTATAATGTGCAATTTGGGGACTTGTTATAGTCTGGAAGTGGTAGAAGGGTGAAAGAATCCCTGTTACAGTACAAGTAAGTCTAGATCTCAGTGTTACAGTCGGGGAAGAGCAGGTAAATAATCTAAATAAATTAATCTCTGTGTAACAGTTTCATCACAATTCATGATGACCAAAAGTTCACAAGGAAGGGAGACTGAAAATAATATTAGTATTTTATCATTTAGATTGGAAATAGAGTAATAAATTAATCCCTGAGTAACAAACTTGACAAGACTGTATAAAGTAAAGTGGTTTAATCCAGGACACATTTTGAGCTATAGTTGATGAAAGACTGTAGCCAGAAACCTGTTTTGGATTAAAACATACTTTACTTTATTCAGTCTTGTCAAGTTTGTTACTCAGGGATTAATTTATTACTCTATTTCCAATCTAAATGATAAAATACTAATATTATTTTCAGTCTCCCTTCCTTGTGAACTTTTGGTCATCATGAATTGTGATGAAACTGTCTTTGAATTATCAATAGGTTCATAAATATAACAATGTTACTTACAAAGGATCAGGACAGTCTTGGGGTTGAGCCATTCTTCTTCCAGCCTTTAAATAACGTATAACATCCCAGTTATCTACCTCGGGATACGGATTAACTCCCCTTGTCATCAACTCCCATAAAACTACACCAAACGACCACTATAATAAAATACAAAATAGTTCACTTATTGTATTAAGTATAATCGCTTTTTTCTGGTCATTATGTCTAGTATGTTTATCTTTCAAATGCTTTAAATGGGGTGTATTTAAGGCAGTCCTACAGAAAATGAGTAGTCAGTCACACAATCAATTAGGAGTGTGCATCTATTAATTCGAGTATATAATAAAACCACCATTATTTTACTAACAACCGGTGCTTTTAACATTTTTAGGCATGGTATGATTTCAATTATATTTAATCAAAATGACATCAAATTTATAGAAAATAATATATGATTTAATTTTCAAGCATAAACTCTCAAGTACGGTGGCTGATAAGGGACATGAAAAATAATATAATTTGTTTTTTATAATTTTCACCCAAGTCAATTTTAATTTTCACCCAAGTCAATTTTAATATAATTTGTTTTTATAATTTTCACCCAAGTCAATTTTAATATAATTTGTTTTTTATAATTTTCACCCAAGTCAATTTTAATTTCCACCCAAGTCAATTTTAATATAATTTGTTTTTTATAATTTTCACCCAAGTCAATTTTAATATAATTTGTTTTTTATAATTTTCACCCAAGTCAATTTTAATATAATTTGATTTTTATAATTTTCACCCAAGAATTTCCACCCAGCGTGTGACGTCATCTCAATTAGCCTCGTTTCCATTGTAATGTATTATCACATGTTTTATCTTATATGGTTCTCATACTGTAATTAGCAGATTGCAATGTATTATGTTTTACCTTATATCAAATAGATATTTTTATACGCCCACATTTTCATATGGACGTATATTATCGTCACCCCTGTCCGTCCGGACGTCCATCCATAATTTGTTTATGGACACTATACAGGTCACAATTCTTATCCGATTTTGACGAGACTTGAAATATAGGTTTATCCCCAAAAGATCTAGGTTCCTTTCGATATTGGCATGTATCGGATTGAAACTTCATGAATTATGGCCCCTGATTGTACGAAAAGTCACTTTTTTTAGCGTGTGGACACTCTAGCGGTCACAATTATCATCTGGTTTCTTTCTGAATTACGACCCTTGATTGTACGAAAAATCTTGTTTTTAGCTTGTGGTCTCTCTATAGTAGGGTGACCCACCATAAATAAATATCTCCATATATCTCGACAATTACGCCACAATACTTATATATATGCCAAGCCTCAAATCAGTTCCACACAATTATAGTCACTAAATAAACGATCATGTTGTACTTAATAAGCTATGGCCATTAATCACGTATAAATAATAGACTGAAAACTGGTTCCAAGAATCGTCCATAACATCCAGACACTTTTGAGTAAAAGATAGGTTAAGTGCCCTTGTTTTGAAATTAGTCTCGCTTAACCAGTCTATCGACCATTCTACGTCTGATTGACAGGTCGGGATAATCAAGACTACTTTTTTACGAAACATAACAGAAAGCTAGAACAAGAAATTGAATTTAGAAATAAGCACGTTAGGTAGCTCAACAATCGTTTTAAGAAGCTTGTAAAAGTAAAATGAAACTACTGCTAGTATCATGTTCTTGCCTAACCTGAGTGTTTCAGAGATATTATTTGTACTAAACCAAAAGATGCCGCTCTTAACGGTACAGTTAATGATAAAGCGATTTAAAAAATGAAACGAACGTAATTTCTAAATCTGCTGTAATAACCAAGAAGCTTAATTTTACTGCTATTCAAAATCGTCAACAATAAATTTTTTACAGCTGTAATAGTTGATAGATTTGTAGAGAATTGCACGTGCCATGGCTATTTATAGTATCATATTGTCAGAAAGTTGGTCTCGGCACGGCGAATGTGCACGCTTCAGTGGTAGTCTCGAACTATCAGCGGTGGACTGTATTTCTGTGAGTACATGGGCCACTCTATCTATAGGTCACAATTTGTATCCGATTTAAAAAAAAAAACGTTTGAATATATCACCGTTACGCCCTAATGATGATTGAGTTCGAATTTTCTGAAAATCTGATCGAAACTGCCGGACAAAATGGTCACCCCTCGTACGCAAACTTTGAGAGAGAGAGGGAGAGAGGGTCATTTCCACGCTGGGTGGAAATTCTTGAGCGATAATTATAAAAATCAAATTATATTAAAATTGACTTGGGTGAAAATTATAAAAAACAAATTATATTAAAATTGACTCGGGTGAAAATTATAAAAAACAAATTATATTAAAATTGACTTGGGTGGAAATTATAAACCAGCGACTGCTAGGCAGGATACGCCCACATTTTTGAGAGATGGATAGAGAACAAGCTAAAAAGAAAGTGATTTTTCCTACAATCAAGGGCCATAATTCATCAAGTTACAATTCGATATGCGCAAATATTGAAAGGAACCAAGATCTTTGGGTTATAAACATGCATTTCAAGTTTTATCAAAATCGGATTAAAATTGTAACCTCTCCAGGGTCCACAACCTTGATATATCATATTTTTACACCTTTCGCGTACAAGCGGCGGCCATTTTGTCCGGCGATTTTGGTCCTATTTTCACGAAATTTGAACTCAACCTTTATTATGGTGTTACGGTGATATAATCAAACGTTTTTTAAAATCGGATAAAAATTATGACCTCTATAGGGTCCACAAGCTAAAAACGTGATTTTTCGTACAATCAGGGGCCATAATTCAGGAAGTTACAGACTGATATGCGCGAATATCGAAAGGAACCGAGATCTTTGGGTTAAAAAACTTACATTTCAATTTTCAACAAAATCGGATAAAAATTGTGACCTCTATAGGGGCAAAAACCTTGATATACCATATTTTTACGCTATTTGAGAACGAACGGCGGCCATTTTCTCTGTCAATTTTGGGCCAATTTTCACGAAATTCGAACTCAACCTTCCTTAGGGTGTAACGATGATATAATAATACGTTTTTTTAAATCGGATAAAAATTATGACCTCTATAGGGTCAACAAGTTAAAAATGCGATTTTTCGTACAATCAGGGGCCATAATTCAGGAAGTTACGGTCCGATATGCGCGAATATCGAAAGGAACTGAGATCTTTGGGTTATAAACTTACATTTCAAGTTTCAAAAAAATCGGATAAAAATTGTGACCTCTATAGGGTCCACAAGCTAAAAACATGATTTTTCGTACAATCAGGGGCCATAATCCATGAAGTTTCGATCCGATACATGCCAATATCGAAAGCAGCCAAGATCTTTTGGGGATAAAACTATATTTCAAGTTTCGTCAAAATCGGATAAGAATTGTGACCTGTAGAGAGTCCACAAACAATTGTGGATGGACGGACGGACGTCCGGACGGACAGGGGCGATGGCATAATACGTCCACATGAAAATGTGGGCGTATAAAAAACAAATTATATTATTTTTCATGTCCATTATCAGCCACCGTACTCAAGTACAATATGCCTTTAATAATAATAATATCAATGGAAAAATTGTACTAATTTAATTCTAGTAGCCAAGGTTATAATTAATATTACAACAAGACTGCTAATTCTGAATCTTTATTAAGACAATAAATCCTGTTTGTCATTGATTTGTATTTAATATAAAATTATTTAACTCACCACATCTGATTTAGCACTGTACATTCCTTTTTCCAAACTTTCCATTGCCATCCATTTTACTGGTAATTTCGTTTTTTTATTGTCTGAACTGTAATAATCTTTTTCATAGATATCTCTTGCTAAACCAAAATCAGCCACCTTTGCTCGGAAATCTTGATCCAACCTTCGTAATGATAAGTTAAATCAAATAAAATAGACTACAAAAAGTTTATAGACAATGTTATAATCTTATACCAAGAAAACTATGAGACCTTCAGAATTTTTGAGACACACGTGATCATACAGTCTATAGGAGAAATTTTACAGGTTAGAGAATTTATCAATCTATTCAAATTGTATATCCACATTATATAGTAGTTCTCCATGTTGGCAATAAAAAATTTACTGAGCCATAGACGATATTTAGAAGTTTAAATCTGAATTGAATAGGAATTATGGTTAGTACTATAAAAAATATTTTATTTTAATGTTTATATTTGTTTTGTTTTTTTGTGATACATTCATTGGCTTCTGAAATTAAGCCATCGCAAGCACGTCACTAAATTCGACAATGCAACTTTAAATCTATTTTAAAAATGCAAATCCATTGTTTCTAAATTACCAGTGAAATATAATGCTTCCAAGACAAGTCTAAAACCAGCGGTTGCCAGGCAAGATACACCCATATTTTGCAAGAGATGGATAGAGAACAAGCTAAAAAAAAAACGCTGTGATTTTTCTACAATCAGGGACCATAATCCAGGAAGTTATGGTCTTAAATGTGCAAATATTGAAAGGAACCGAGATCTTTGGGATATAAACATAAGTTTCATCAAAATCGGACAAAAATTGTGACCTTTAGAGGGTCCACAACCTTCGTATTATTACTTTTACACAATATGCACAAGGAGCGGCCATTTTGTCGGGCAGTTTCGTTTTGATTTTCCCGAAATTTGAACTCAACCTTCATTATGGTGTAACGGTCAGATATTTAAAGATGGGTTCCCAGAAAAGTATTTATCGGGTGGTTATTTCCAATAAAAGGATGGCAATTTTTGGTATATATGGAAAGTAGAGATATCCAATCTTACTAGAAAAATACTGGATTCCCCGAAAAACACTCATGGAGCGTATACAGGACAAAAATGTAAGGGTTCCCCTAATCAACAGCCTGACGATTAGGAACTTCTGCACGCATGATGTCAAAGGTCACGAGCGAACATTGAGCGCTTGATGTACAAGTTGATAAACTTTATGAAGAGTTAGACGTACAATACTTTCTGAGATAAAAATGACGGAAAAAGACGCAGGTAGTGGATAATCCGAGAATTTAATTAGGATTCGATATTTGTAATAAATAGTAAGCGATTAAAGACAACATCGTCTTATGTATGCAATGAATTCTCCTCTGACTCCCAAGACATGACGTAAACATGACCTGGTTTGATCGAATTTTAATAGCAGGGCATTCCTTCACAATCACAATGTTTGAGAAGGATTTGAAGCTTAATTATGACAAATTAATTAGTTTGAATATGTTTTTGGTCCATATATACCATTAAATCACCCAGTTTGTACGCGGGAACCCATCTTTAATGGTTTTTAAAATCGGATAAAAAGTGTGACCTCTAGAGATTCCACAAGCTAAAAATGTGATTTTTTTGTACAATCAGGGGCCATAATTCAGTAAGTTATGGTCAGATATGTGCGAATATCCAGAGGAACTGAGATCTTTGGGATATAAACATATATTTTAAGTTTCATCAAAATCAGACAAAAATTGTGACCTCTAGCGGGTCCACCACCTTGGTAATATATACCTTTACACAATTTGCGTTCAAGGAACGGCCATTTCCTCAGGCAGTTTTGGTTCGATTTTTAGTAAATTGGAATTCAATCACCATCAGGTGTAACGATGATATATCTAAACGATTTTTAAAATCGAATAAAAATTGGGACCTCTAGTGGGTCCACAAGCTACAATCGCAATTTTTTCTTACAATCTGGGGACATAATCCAGGAACTTATGGTTCGATATGCGCAAATATCAAAAGAAACTGAGATCTTTGGATATAAACACATATTTTGAATTTCATCAAAATCAGATAAAAATTGTTATCTCTAGAGGGTCCACAACCTTGATATTACATACTTTAACACTTTTGCATATGGGGGGTGACCATTTTGTCTGGCAATTTCGGTCCGATTTTCACGAAATTCAATTTTGACCATCATTATGGTGTAACGCTGACAGATTCAAATGTTGTTTTTAAATCAGATAAAAATTGTGACCTCTAGAGGAACCACATGCTAAAAACGTGCTTTTTTGATCCGATACGCGTGAATAACGAAATTAACCGAGATCATTGGTTATAAACATATATTTCAAGTTTCATCAAAATTGGAAAAAAATTGACCTCTAGCATAGTGTCCACAAGCTAAAAACGTGATTTTTCATACAATCAGGGACCATAATCCATGAAGATACAATCCGATACATGTCAATATCGAAAGGAACCAAGATCTTTCAAAGATAAACCTATAATTCATGTTTCGTCAAAATTGGATAAAAATTTTGACCTGTAGAGTGTCCACATGCAAATTGTGGACAGACAGGGGTGACGACAATATACATCCACATGAAAATATCGGCGTATAACAATTTTGTAAACAAATACTTTTAGATAGGAAATTATGAAAGAAAAATTTATTTCTGTCATGAGTAAAAGATTTATTTATTTTATTTTTATACTCTTGGGGAAAACCATTAAAATAAACAATGGGTGTTATATTGTTAATAATCTTACATGCAGTTTCTGGCAGCTAAATCTCTATGAACAAACTTAAGGCCAGCTAAATATTCCATTCCCTTAGCTATATCTATACCAAACAGTATTAGATCTTTAATTGTGGGGTTCTGAAATAAAACACACCAATAACAAACCAAAAATAAAAATAAGCAAAACTTTAAAAAAAAGCAAATAAAACAAAATTATAAAAAATAAATAAACCCCAGTTAATTCTAGTAATAAAAATTAAAAGCAAATAAAACAAACAGCCAGACATTAAATACACTGTTACAAAGCTATATTTCTGTGAATACAAGTAAAATATGTAACCTTAATGTGCTGGTTAAATTCAACACAAGATCACAGAATATGTATAATGACTACCACCAGAACTTTGGATGGGGGCTTTTTATAATTTGGGGGAGTCAGGAGCAACATTAGCATGTACCAAAAGTTATTAATGTTTGTGCACTGGCAAAGATATTAATAAACAAGGTGTCATACGAGAATAGCATAATGCTTCTAATTAAACCCAGAATTATGTTTTATTAGTAGAGGAACATTATTGACCAATCAGAATGATCACAATTCCGGTGATTGCACTTCTCTCTTGGTTTTTTGTTGATGTATGTCAGTAAAAATAACTAATTTCTGTGGGTGCAATAATTATGTATAAATATAGTTTGCCAGGAAATGAAAACTATGCCCACAGCAGCTAAGTTATCCAAGCAGTCCAATAGATTGTTGATTGTTTACTCATTTGTACTAACTTGTAGGTAATGGGAGCGTTTACAAAACACTGATCAAGAGTAACAAGTAATTATCAGAAAATGAAATGAAATGGGGTTTAACGTCCTACTGTTCTGCTCCAAACTGGGCTGATAAAGACGGGCATTTTGCCCGGACAGCGGCACTACAGCCTACTCTTATATTGAATTCCAACTGTCAGGGGATTTTTTTTACGTGCACGCCAATGTGTACACGGGACCTTGGTTTTCGGTCCCATCCGAATGACTAGACAGCTGTCCTTGCTTGTCAGGCCCTCCGTCCTGCATCATTGACAAGGGGGAACCATGCTGGAAAATCCTCGACCAATGCAGGGATCAAACACCCGAACTCCAGGCTAGCGAGCCAGCATCTTACCCACTTAGCCACCGTGACCCCGAGTAATTATCAGATCTAATTCAAGATTGATTGGCTTGTAGTTGTTCCTAGAGCCAACATGTACTGGTAATCAGTAAATAAATTTAGATGTTCAATTTATTGGATATTGTGTCTAATAAACATAAACACTATGTTTAAATTTAAAATTAATCTGATAATCACTTTAGCCATTAAAGGCTCTAAAAGACTTTTAATAGTGATCAAGGCATTTTTTCAAAGTGGCCAAGGGCAATAACTCTTGAAGTACTTATCAGAAATTACTGATATTTTAACTTGAGAAAACCCCTGATCTGAATTTTGCTGATATCTTGAGAAAACTCCTGATCTGGATAACTGATGACTTAATTTGAGTAAAACTCTGATCTGGATTACCGATGGCTTAATTTTATTACACCCCTGTTCTGGATTACTGATATTTTAACTAGAGTAAACTCCTCATCTGTATTAATGATGTCTTAACAAAATTTGTATTCTTAATCTTATAAATTCTTACATTATTTTCATCTCTGATGTAGCTGAGTAAATCACCGTGTTCCATAAACGGTAGAACAACAAGAGGCATGGCATCTAATCCAAGACATATCCCAATTAATTCTAGAACATTCTCATGATGAAAATCTTTCATTAATAGAGCCTCTTGAAGAAAAGCATTTAGCTCTATTTCACGAGGATTACTCTCTGAAAAACAAATTGTTGGAAAGTATGTTTTCAATATCCATACATCAATTCCAAGTATTTACACATTCCACATGGCCAATACTTTGAAAGTTAATTAGAGCAAATGTTTGACAATACATTGGTCAGATTTGAGGTTGTGAAATCAAGGACATTATAAAAACCGGTACAACAGATTAATTTGTCATGTGTGATCATGATCATGTGTTAATTATAGAGTAGAAATGTAGCGTTTACTTACGATGTAAAGTTTTAACAGCAACCAATATATCTCCTTTTTGTTCAGGCAATGTAAGAAACCCTTTATATACACAGCCAAAATTACCTGCATAAAACACAATACAAATAATTCAAATACTGTACATATCAAAAACCATGTCCTGGATAGTCAATAAAATAGCAGAGAGATAACACAGGACTCTCACTACAACACCAGACTATTATTTTCACCTCATTGTTAAATCACAGGAATCTGACCTTCTATCCGTATATATATGCATACACCATGTCGTACCAGACAATGCCATTTTTGGCCTATGACAGTTTTTCGAACATTTTGATGATCCTATCTTGATAATGACAAAGAGCTCAATGTGTCACAAGCATCTGATAAAATATTATAGAAGGTATTTGAGCATCTCATTTTCAATTTTATATCTACGCCAGGTTAAAGGCATCCATAGACTGTGACGTTATTTTCTTAATCGATTTCCCTAAATGTTCTTCTTATGCACTAATGGAAAATCCAATCAATTTTTTTTAAAATTCCTGTATCCAATAATTTTGAAATTTAAATTCAATTATCTTTTTAGTGTGTTTAATCTTATAAAGGCAATAATTTAAAAAGACATTAAGGGTTGAGTGAATACTAGTGCAGGGTATTGCCACGGCAGTCATGATACAATACATATTGTGATTCAAGTACTATGATACGATTCGTATCATGATTCATAACCAGGTCAATATTTATCAAATTTTTAGTCCTGCCAATGTCAAAGAAATAAAACTGTTTTATATCCCGACATTGATGTGGATCAAAACAATGACCAAAACAATTTAAGAGTGTTTGTTTGGATAATGTGTGACAGTGTGTGACGTAGATAGTTAAGAGTGACAGGTTACTTACTGAAGCGACAAAAAAAACCATAAAAAAAAAGAATCGCGATAAATCGATTCAGTTTCTCGCGATTCAATACGCGAATAGTGAGAAGGTGAATTGTGATACATCGATTCAATGATATATCATGCCAACAATATATCGTGGTGCCAACAATATATCGTGCAAGCACTAGTCAATACTACATCCATAAGTGCTAGATTTACCTTTGCCCAATATTTCAGTTTTAGTTAAATGTTCACTGTCTATAAGCAGATTTTCATTTTTTATTAAAGCTAACAGATCATCATCTATAAGGGTTGAAGGTGCAGCTGCAGCAATAGCATCTCTTTCTGTATAATCTGTAAACATAATATTACTATATATGATTTTATGTTTAGTTTGTTAAAAGCAATGTTATAAGAAAGCCACATAACATGGAAATATGCCCACTGTCGCCCATTTAGCAACAATGTCTCAACAGCAGCTTAATTGGATGTTGACCAAATTTGATATTTCAGAAAAGGAACTGATAGTCCCTGAATGCTGAATATCGTCCTCTCATGACCACAATGCTTCACACTAAATTTGAAAAATATCTGTCAAAAACTGTAGCCACTAGCCAACTACACACTCCCTATACAAACAATCCACATTCCAACAAAATGAGAAATAAAAAAAAAACTTACTGTTTTGTCTGTTTTCTAGGTTAAAAGTATGTTCACCAGGTTGTGTTAAACTATCAATACCAATATGATCACCTTGTGTATATCTGATACTACGATCATCACGTGGGGGTTTAAAGAAACCAATACGTTTTTTCTTCATTATACATAATATAACGAAAACGGCTATACAGATTAAAGCTATTATTACACCCAGTATAACAAGTTGGTATGTTGCAGCTGATGCTCCTGCTGTATATATGACAAATCCTATTTCATAATGAAGATTACCAACATGAACCTAAAATACACACAAATATCATACATAATTTCCTGACATAATAATCTCAAATTAAAAATCAATTGACCAGTTTGAATAATTTTTATTTTATCTGTTTCCATAATTAATTTTTTTTGGAAGAGATGTTAAAGAAGCACTCTTACATTTCATCTGATATGAAAACTTGAAATTTACGATTACAGTAAATGTAATAAAATAACCTTTTTACTCTGTCTGAACAGGGTTACGCAACTGTTTACATGTACTGAGAATTGTGATAAAGGCAACTCATCACTCCGGGAAGCTAACTGACATGGACGGTTATTCAGCCATTGTTGCAGCTGTCAGATAGGAACCTTGTCAATAATTATAATAAAAATGATTGTATTTTTTCAAAATGTTCTCTCCGACAGCTGTAGGGATTATTCAGGGGTTTTTTCACCAAAATATATCTGAGGCAGGTCATATTGTCATATCTATCATAACATCAAACTAACAGGGTTGATAATTAGTAGTTGCCAACTGGTCTGGGGTCATTATTTATATCTAAAGGAGGCAAAGGATTTTGAAATAGCATGCCACTATCAATTGGAATATGAGTATGGCTTATAAATAAGATATGGTGCTCACCACTTGATTAATATATAGAACAGCTGATACCACTTCACATTTGAGGCATTAAAATTTTTGAAATAAAATTTGGTATGGGTCAGTTGATAAATCAATAATTTGACCATTGCAATTTTAGGTTGTTGAAACTGTACTAACCTCTACTTTTCTCTTGGGTTCATTTTCACTTATAGATGTTGGTTTATTACTCGGAATACATTTAATATTAGTTTCTTCTAAATCTTTTACTTTACATATATCATCTCCTACAATAACTTTTATATCTGTCTGTGTAAAACCTAATCCTATATTATCACCCTGTAAATAATTATATCCTTTATCTAAGTAAAACTGTAAATCTATATATAACAAATATAGTTTACTCCCAGGAAGTCTCTGTTAGGGTCCATAGAAGATGAAGAACAAATATTCTCTTGTTTACCCAATAGATGTAACCCCCAACAGATAACTAACAACCCCCTTACAAAAGCTGCAAACCAAGTTATGCATTTGCCGTTCTGAATGATATTACAAATTGAAAGATAGGTTGCCAGGCATGGAAACAGGTAAATCGACCAAGCAGTCCACAAAGGTTGTCACACTGTTGACCTTCAGGTAAATAGAAATCAAATTCTTTAAACTGATAATATCATTTCAATGTTGAAAAATTTTCTATGATATAATCAAGGGTAATAACTCTATAGGCATTGTGTTGCAATATAATTCTTCTCATTGCACTAATCTGAACATAAATTTCAAGCAGACTGAATGTCAGCTATTGCCAATAGACTGCTCACAACATTCCACAAAGTGATCAGAGATAATAACTCTAAAAGTTATCAGAAACTATTGCAATTCAGTCAGATGATCAATGTAATCTGTATGAATAATGATGACTTGATACGGACAAATGATACAGTGAGCGAACAAGCTAAAAAATTAATTGAACACTTTTCTACAATATTAATTGGTAGTAGTGAATAAATTTTAGACGAATCAACAGAAGACTATAATTATCCTCATTGTTAAAACACTTTACACCAAAAGTAACAACACTTTTTTTAAGCATCAATAATTGAAAATTTAGGGAATATCACCGGAATTTTTCATAATCTATATGGGTTTTATATTCTAGTCTATGATGCCGTTTCTATGTTGTATGATATAATCATATGGAAGTGGTTAACAGGCAACAATATTTAACACTAAGTTTCAACTTACTTCAATGACAAGATTTGATTGTGAAACATCAAACTCTAAAACATTCCCGTCTCCACGAAATTTATCAAACACTGGATCAGGATAATATGTAAAACTACTTAATTTCCCCTGTGTTTGATGAAAGTTGCGTAAATTTTCCACACCATCCATAATAAACCACAAGTTGACTTCCTCTGGATCTGTTTTCTCTGCATTGGTGATGACAGAACTAAAATCAAGAGCTGGACAAATCATAGCTTCTCCTCCTTCCGTAACATTACAAAGCTACAAATACAATACTAAAGTTACAATATAAAAAAAACATGTAGAATATAGCAGAGAAATAATGTATTGATGATTATAAAGGTCAAATTCTATATAAAATGTGTATTTATTCACATAGTTTCATTAGAAATACAGCACAAACAATTAATTTTTAGGAAGAAAGAGAGAGAAATGGGGTTTAACGTCCACTCAACACAAACTAGGTCATTTCGGGACTAACATATGGTTTAATTTATTTCAATAATTTGCTTGCGCGTAGGGGTCTTTAGCAGTGGGAGGAAACCAGAGGACCCGGAGAAAACCCATGAGGTTGGACAGGCGACCCTAATCCTTGTCGCATACAACCGGGGATTCGAAACCACGCCAGTTGACTAAATGACAGGCCTTATGATACAGCAAGCATGTGCTAACCATTCGGCCATCCAACCACCCTTTTAGGAAGAAAAACCACTAGTTTTAATTAAATGCATTTATATAATTGATCACTGTCATTTTCCTGTTGGGTCGATGGCAATTAAGTTCACCTTTATGTGGACCTATATTATTATAGTTTCCTTTTTAACATAAGGAGTACTGCACTACATGCAAAACAAAACCAACAAGACAAGACAGACATTACAAGAAATAAACAACAAATATCAAATCAAGTGAATGGATTGTTGTTTCTTTTTTTTCTAACTGGGGTATGCAATTAATGTATGTATATTGTATCAGGATTATATTGTAACTTTAAGTGCAGTTGAATTTTCGGCAGATTATCAAATAACTTAAATCATTATTTTTATTATATGAAAGGACTGTTGAGAGTCCTATGGACCCTTGACACTTAAAACAATATATGTAGTGACTCGTTAAGTCTGAGGATTTAAAAAATATTTTTTTAATATGTGAAAACAAGAAATCATGTTGGTTCCTCTGAAGAAAGTCAAAATTTTAAATTGTCCATTCCAGCAGATCAGACAGTCAGATGATAGCCCGAATTGATGACATAACTTGATAAATGGTTTGATAAAATAAAGTGTTACTACATTACCTCTTGTTGTGTTAAGTCTTTCCCATCTAACGAACCTCCTATATACGGTCTAGCTACTGAATCCAAGTTAGATCCTCTCACAGTTATTGGTATACCACCACTACATGTATAGAAAATATATAATAAAATCACTATCCAAATTCAATACACCCATTCCAAGTGTATTTGGTTACATATTGATGACGACAACATTTTATCGAATTACAGAGAAACTATCACTCCCGCCAAAAAAACAATTGAATAAATTTAGAATAGCATCATACAGTAGTCATTCACACAGAATTGACACTAGATTTTAAACACTTTTCCAGACTAAAATCTTACCTAACAAAAGATTGACGTGGTAAAATATGATCAATTGTCGGGTTTTCTAAGTAGAAAAAGTTAGTTTCTTCATTTTCATCAATACTTAAGGTAGCATCATCAATTTTAACAATGAGTGGACCATTTCCTTTAGCTCTATTTATAAATCTTTTTCTTCTTGATGATATGAAACCAGATGTTTCTGACCAAGGAACAGTTGTACAGTCAATCTGTGTACTAGTTAAACTAAATAAAACACAGAAAAATATTCTTCTTATTAAAGAGTTTTTACATTTAACTAATCAAAACATAATTACCGGTATGTTTTTATATAGGGTTGGCCATAATTCCTTAACTGCACATTATCTAAGTGCTGGATAGTCATATCTCTATATCTGCCAAGATTATAGAGGTAAATGATTGAACAACAATTTGTAAATGACTTGATTTAAAGCTTCCAAACAAGTTAATTGGACTATTTCTTCACATTTTGGTATTTGCTTTATTCATACCCATTTCTATGAACCAATACAATGCAAAATCTGAGACGACTTCTATAAACAACTTGTCATTCTTGCACATAGAAATAACTACCAGATTATTTCATCCATTGTCAAGCTTACCCTCAGATAAACAGTTCGATAATCAATGTTATTACTCCATGTGTTTTAAGGTCTCTACCACTAAATATCCAAATTATTGAGAAATTCAGCTATGACCATTTTAAAGTATAATTGGCTTACTGCACTCACTTGAAAATGATACAATTAAAATTATAAGCAACAGACACATTTGGCAATCCTCCTATGTTCAAATTATCTCCCTTGATCCTTATGTTAGTCCCTCCTGCTACAGGCCCTCGTTTTGGTTGAAAAGACTCTATTTTTGGTTCCTGGAAAATAATGAGGTAAATTCAGAATGTGTATATCAAAAGATCATTACTGGAGAATTTGGGGCTTACAAATTATTAATAGTGGAATATCAAGTCTTATTAAGCCAGACCTCTCGCAATCAAAACACTAATTCTTTCACTGCATGGGTCATGGGTCAATCACTGCAATTTGATGTTTAAACAAGAACATATTTAAATTCATTTTCAGCATTATATGATTTACAGTCAATGAAACAGTTATTTTGAAGGGTAAATGTTTTATTACCTGATAAGAGAAATATTGTTCAGAGTAATCAGTGCCTTCTACATGGTAGCTTCTACCAAACGTGGTACTACCTGTAACTGTTATCTGTACTGGTCTCTGTTGTACAGGAGCAGGACCAGTTCGACATATTAACCTATTTAAAAATTTATATTATCAGTAAAAACACTTAAGTCTAAAAAGTCAAATGCTGAAAATAAAATACCAGAAGTTGCTCCAAAGAAAAAGCCTGTTATCATGTGATGTAATACATAGACGGTGGCTCCTCACGAAGGCTGGAAAAGTCATCACAGTATTCAGATTTAACAGTAAGTCAAAAGAGTAATAAATTTATTTAAAAAGTTTAAAAAAGGTTATTTAAGAAGTAAATCTCAAAAACTAACACTGATATGTTTACATTGACAGGGGCTATAAAATGTCAATAAAATAATATGCTAAACAATCTTAAAAATATAAGAAAACTCTGTGAATGGTTTACTAGATTTAGAAGACAGTGACAAAAGATTTATGTGTGACTGATTTGCATTAAGGGGTCTCCTCATGACTAGCCAAACACGCCAGTCATGCTAATGTGCCCCACCTCAATCCCAAAATAAATAAATGACACATTAATTAATAACATATTTTTTTTTGTTTAGTTTTGAGCAATAAACTTAGATAAAGCAGAATGGTTTTGATGTAGTGAAACTATACCAAGTATCATCACTCTCCCTCAATTCAAATCAACATTATTGTGTCTAGAAGCATCAACCAATCAAATTGCTCATGTTAATCATCAAGTCATGACATTACCTTAATGAACATCTACACAAACAGCCCGTTCAGACACTTATTTTTAAACCAGTTCATAATCGCCGGGGTTTTTAAGACAGCATTGTGTTGCATTCACACGTACTATAAGCCAAACCAGTTTAACTATTCTGACCTCTCCGGTCGGAGGTTAGAGTTAACTACGCATGGGTAGCTTCGTATTCTTTATTCAGCTCTAGCACGCTTTCGATAACATTGGCACTGTCTGACCCCAATATTTTCACAGGAATGTAACTTACTGCGTACAGCGCATGCTCAAAGCAAGCTGGAGCAGGTTTTTTTTTTAAGCCAACCCGTTCAGATGGCTAAGATGAACCAGTTTAAAATAAAAAGCCTTCTCGAAGACAGGTCATGAGCTGGAGTTTTTAAACTGGTTTATTTGCCCCATATTTGCGTTCAGATGCTTAAGTTAAACTGGTTTAACGATCCCTGGGGTTTTTAAACCAGGGCCCTGTTTCTCAAAATCTTAACTGAAGATAAAATCCAAATTTAAGTAGATACTTCAATTTTGATTGGCTAAACGCTAAAATCAATCTAATATTATCCAATCAAATTACTAAAATTTGGATTTTATCTTTGTTAAAATCTCGTGAAACAGGCCCCAGTTCAACTTAAGCGTCTGAACGGCATATAAGTGTGAAAATTCTACCTCAATTAAAAGCAGAGTTATTGTGTTCCAAAGTCTTAACCAATCAAATCAAAGCATTAGCAGAAAATTTCCATCATCAAACTTAGTCATAGTGAATGATATACTGGTAATATGGTATTTTGTAAAATGAAACTTCCTTACCATGTTGAATTCCCATTTTTAATGTCACATTTTATTTTAGAAATTTCAACAGTCAGACTGGCTTTATCTTTTAATATTGCGCTTCCAAAATTTTGACCAGTCAAAGTCAATAAAGTTCCACCTTGAGTTGGACCATTTAGAGGATTAATCTAGAAAATAAATGAAATGGTCTACAATCCTTGTCCTATAAAGTTTACACTGTAGGCAATCATCTCAGGGTCAACACTTCTCTATCTTGTGTCTAGTCTGATAGGTTTATTTATGGTAACAAAACACACAATCTGAATGCCAGTGTCCCTCTCCTTCTCTCTATTATCTATAGCATTAATGTACATGTATTTATGGGAGCAATGCACATTATCTGAATGCCAGTGTCCCTCTCCTTCGCTCTATTATCTATACCACTAATGTATTTAGAAAGATGTGCATTCCCGTAATAAAAAAACAACTGTTCTAAATCTTTATCCTAGTCCTGTACAACTATGTAAAGCACTGTGAGGAAATTATTTAGTTCCCCAATATCATGTTGTGTAAATGCCTGGATAACCATGTTTATCTGTTAATTTGTACCTCGTGCATGGCGGCGAGCATCAATCGAATTGAATTTAAATCTCATCGGCATGGCTCAAAGCCGACAACGTGGAAAAAGGTTAGGCGCAGAGTATGTAAATCAGTTATTGGAGGATAGTGCCCATTTTGTGGACGAGCGTTTCCAGTCGACCCCAATGGCTTCGAGTTCGAGTGGTAGCGGAACTGCAGTCGGTGCTACGATTACAGCGGCAAACACAGGAAAAACTGGCAAGCGCACTGCCAGTCGCGGAACGGCCCCAACAACACCTTGTCCTAGTCATCTTCAGGCAGAAATTAGAGACTTACAGTCAAGATTACTTATTATGGAGCTTACTCGTGAGAAAACAGTACTCCAAAAGAGGTTGGAAAACATGGAGAATAGTGGTGGTGGTCGCCAAAATATGCAGACAAATGAATGTTTTGGAACGCCAGCCTCAAGTAGTAATAGCCAGGGACAAAGTTACACAGGTACGAATTCTATTCCGAATCATAGCACCAGCAAGGAATCTACGCGTTATGTTCACCATTATATATGGGATGACCCTCTTATAAACTTTGATGCTAGAGACGATGTGGTGACATTAAGTAATTCAGGTGTTAAATTAAACCGCAGAAGGGAGAGGGAGTGCCATAAACTTACTATAGAACAGTGGGGTTTTGGCGCAGTTGAAATTCTGCAGGAACTTATACGAAATGGTGAAATATCTACGTCGGGCATCCAGGATTATCTAGATTATACAAAAACTATTTTTCGGTTATTCAGTCGATATGTTATAGCCAGTGTTTTGCTGTACGATAGGAAATACCGAGAAGAGCAACAAAAGAACAAGTTTCGTTGGAATACGTCACGATCCAACATATTTGACTTTCAACTGATATCGAAGCCAACATTTAATCAGATGTCGCATCAGAAACAGTCTCAAGGACGTGTCAACAGGCGTAAAGGTCCCTTTACCCCGGAGGGCAAGGAGATATGTCGTAAATATAATTCTACAGATTCTTGCAATTTTTCTTATTGTAAACTTGCGCATTGCTGTACTAGTTGTTTTGGACCACATAGTGTTATTGATCATCCAAAAAACTAATTAAAAACTCTCTGTCCGCGACCCCACTATCAGGACTGGGAAAATGCCTCTCCGCCTGGGAAAGACAGCTTCCTACAGATTATAAGGACAGAGAGTTTACTATTAATGGAATTGAACAGGGGTTCTCGATCATTGATACATGCGACGACTCGCTTATCGATAAAGTAGAGGTAGACAATTGAAGATCCGTGCAAAACTTTAATAAACTAGTTGAAAAACAGATATTAGACGAAATTGCTGAAGGCAATTACATTAAAGCCGAGGAACAGCCAAAAATTGTGAGTGCTTTGGGTGCAATACCAAAATCTTCTGATAAAGTGCGTCTAATACACGATGCCAGCAGACCTCTTGGGTCTGCTATGAATGATTACGTAGATAGCGATTGCAGTTGTTCATATATGGACTTGCGCGAAGCAACAAAACATATCCATCGGAATGGATATCTAGCAAAAATCGATCTCAGTGCTGCCTACAGGTCGGTCCCGATCCACCCTGCCAACTACAAATATACGGGCTTAAAATGGCGTTTTGAAGGAGATTCCGATTATACGTATTTAAGTGATACCAAACTCCCGTTTGGATGTAAGAAAGCACCGCAAATTTTTCAGAAAGTTAGTCGAGCCGTGTGTGATATTCTCAAGTTGCGTTATGGTTTCACAGCCATTGCTTACTTAGACGATTTCTTAGTTTTTGACAAGTGTTGTGACAAGCTTATACATTTACTTTTTCTTCTTCGAGAATTGGGCTTTTCGATTAATTGGCGGAAGGTGGTTTGTCCAACTCAACAAATCACATTCCTAGGTATACTTATAGATACAGTTTGCATGACATATTCATTACCAAGTGACAAACTTGAAAGCTTTTATGAACTGCTAGTGGATTTTTCTAGCAGAAAACGTGCCAGCAAAAAGCAATTGGAACGCCTTCTGGGGAAGCTTAACTGGGCTGCCCAGGTTGTTTGTGGTGGGCGTACATTTCTTAGACGCATAATTGACATGAAGGATTCAATTACGTTATATAACCAAAAGGTTCTGTTATCTATGGAATTTTTTGAAGACCTACAATGGTGGCTAAGTTTTATGCACTCGTTTAATGGTACTTGTATCATACAAGATGTCCGTCCAATCACAACTGTCCAAACAGATGCTTGTACAGAAGGTGCAGGGGGATATTATAACGGGGATTATTTTTATGTTAATTGGAATCTTGATTGCCAGCTCTCCTACCTCTGCATATTAACGTTAAAGAACTAATAGCGATATTCTTAGCTATTTGTTTCTGAATAAACGTGTGATAATCTATTCGGACAATGTAAGTGCGGTCTCTTGGATAAATAAAGGATCATCTAAACATAGTGTTGCGAATATTGTGTGCCGCCTAATATGGTGGATTTGTTTATGCTGCAACTGTTCAATAAAAGCAATTCATTTATCAGGTACCAAAAATGTCATAGCAGACGCATGTTCAAGGTTACACAAACCTGACAAGTATGAGACATTATGTGCGTTGGTACCCTCGTTATTGTGCGAACCTTTTTCAATAGAGAGGCTTTTAGTACACATGTCCCCATCCTTCGTTTTTTCCAGGTGGATTAATTCAGCGGCTACTACAAAAGGGACTACAATACAAAGACCAGGCTTGGGCGAAATCTACGCGAGCAACATATGTGTCACAGATAAAGTGCTATATAGATTTTTGCGACTCAATAATGTCTTGCCCAGTGCCAGCCTCATCAGAAACAATCCAGTGTTATGTAGTGTACCTATCTGATTATAAACATTTTAAGTACTGCACAATACAACAATCTTTAAGCATTGTGTCTCATATTCATAAGATTTCGAAATATGAAGATCCTATTGTGAATGACTACTCCTTGAGTTTATTATTACAAGGTGTTAAACGTACACTTGGGGTAGCGCAGACACCGGTGGCGGCCATAACTCCGGATATTTTGTTAGCTATTAAATCAACACTAAACCTCGGCAATATTTCTGAGGTATCCTTTTGGTGTGCATGCATTGTTGCTATCTTGCCCCCTCCGGCGTTTTTAACCCGGAGTCAGATATTCGTCTAGCTGACCTAATTAAGTGCTCTTGGGGTTTTATTATTAAATTACGCAAAACAAAAACTATTCAATTCCGGGAAAGGGAACTGGAAATTATTTTGCCATATATAGGCAATTCCCTCTGTCCTGTTCTAGCATTACGTCAATTATTACTCTTGCGACAACATTCAAATGTTAATCAACCACTTTTTTTAATTAAGGATGGTTCTGCCCTCAATTACACTGTATTTCGCGCAATGTTGTCAGCAGCTCTCAATCGCATAGGCCTTACGAATTCAAATATAAAGGGCCATTCTTTCCGAAGGGGTTGAGCGACATGGTTAGGGAAATTAGGAATTCCCCTTGATACCATAAAATCCATAGGATATTGGGCAAGTAAATCGGTATATTGATCCACAATTTGCAAACAGATTGCATGTCATTCAAAAATTTGGACGGTCTTTAACTGTGCAGCTTTAGTTGGTAATTAGTCATTGGCAGGGCTTACATTTTTATAGTACCATTCCATTTCTCAACTTAATTGTATTATAAACAATACTGGGGTTGGGTTTTTTTTTTGTTACTTTATATGTTTGTAAAATGTTGATTATTATTTCTTTGATAATCTAACAATGGTTTTGTTAGGTTCTTATGTAGTGTATTACAATTTATTTAGTGTGGAATGTTATTAATAAACTGTGCCAATTTTAACACCTCGTCTGTCTCCTTTCATCCACTATCACAAGGAGGAGTTGGAGAAAGTCAAAATATAGCCTATACTTGTCGTAGTTATATTGTAAGTGATCGTCTTGATGATCAAGTCACTCGTAAATTGGAAGAATGAAATTCTTTAAATGGTTTACTAACCCCAAAAAGCTAACATTGTGAAAAGTTAAACATTTTAATTTCAAATTTGCAGACAATTAAATCTCGGATCACAGTTTTAAAGTGTTATTAATTTATGTACCAGATACTTACAGAATGAAGAGAAGGTGGACATTGATTACGATTAAAATCATTATCACATTCATTATATGTTGTACACTTTCCCCTACACCAGCCACATCTCAGAGGATCTGAACTTGATAAACATGAATCACAATCACTATGTACTCCACATGAATCTAAGGAAAACTTTATAACCTAAAACAAAAGATTAAAACAAGTTTAAAACATGAAAGTCATTCACTTGAAAAGAATCCATTAACCATTATATATTTGATCATACAGCATAAGATAAATGAAATTACAATTTAATTTTTTTTTCAGATTTTCAATCTACATTGTAATCTGTGTTTTGCCCTTGTGACAATTCTATGTAAAACATCTCAACTGATCAAACTATATTAAAACATGATGAAAACGCACTACTTTTATAAATGGATGAATGTAAATCTTGTTTGAAAGATACACTTTAATCTTACGCTTCTGAATATAATAACATCAGATCAAATCTATGTTTTCAAGATAGCGTAAAGTTAAACACAAAAAATTGAAATGTAATGTTTGTGGTAAGTCATTTATCCACACATCCTTAGGTAAAATAATAAAAAAAATGGTTTAAAAATGCTGGTGTTCATTAAACCATTTTGATTTTGTATCTGATAGCAAACTTGTTTCAAATAAACCAGTTTTAAAATCACAGCTTATAAAAAAACTATCTTCGATAAGGCCTCTTCAAAAACTGTCTTATCTTGGCAGCTGGCTTTAAAATGCGAAGTGGACTCCAGACATACTCCTTGCAGTGTTTCGTTTGATTTTTCCTAATCCCACTAAACACTGCTTTATCGAGGGCAAATTTCTGTTCCAAATTATGACTGGTCAATGTCAATGGTCCGATTAACAACCAATGGCTAACTACGTCACAAAAGCATCACACTTAAAACAGAGCTCCAAATTGGACCAAATATGTTTACATAACGTTACGTCATGACTCACGATTTTAGTATTCCCAATTAACCAGTGCATATCAGAATATTGCAGAAAACTAATTGCATGACAAACGAGGCTATCAAATCGAAAACAATGTAAACAATACTGTTTGGAGACGAACATACTTTCACCATTTTTAATACCTTAAGCCTTAAATCACTGTCTAAAGTTTTAGGGAAGACCCAGATTAAACGAAGAGCTGTCACATTGCTGTACTTGGGATAGATTTGATTGAATGGGAAGAATAGACAAACTCCCACAAAAGCTCAAGTATCAGAAGCCAATCAAGCAAAGGCCAGAGAGGGATTTCTCGGGCCATTGCTTCAGGAATATGGCTCCAGATAGCTTCGGGCAGGCGCAGTAAGTTGTTTTTCTGGCCCTGTGCCCTTGAGTAATTATGTCAAATTATGTCAAATTAGTCAAACTGACTTGGCTTATGGTACGTGTGGTCCTCTGGCTTAAAATAAAGGAGCACTGGTGTTTTGAAACCAGTTTAAAAATATCATCGAGAAAGCATATTTTCTTTTACTTTACATGTGATTAAATCAAGGAGGGTGTCCTTTATTGACACCAATAATCAACAAGAAACTAATTACCTTATTACCAGTAAGTAGATATAATCTTTCTTTATCTTTATCAACATACATAGTAGATTCTATAGCTGTAGATTGTTGGGATGTAGTATTACCTAGATATAAACTCATATATTCTCGTCCTTTAGATTTATGTACCTGTAATAATATATTAAAAAATATACACTGTCAGTAAATATGGGTAACAGGGAACACAGGCTTGTTGTAAACAGCTTTAATCACTGACAGACCAAAACATAAGATCGCAATCAAAACATGGCGCTCGTTATTTATATATATATATTCTGCGCAGGCGCGTAAGTTACATGGTCCGATTCATTGGACGCAAGTGTATATAACAATGTTAACACTATACTAATATGCAGACCATTGTACTCGCATGACCACTTCTTCTTTTTTTCTTTATCTTTTGTTTGGTGATACAGGGGGGAATAAAGAACTAACTTTAAAATGGAAATTAAAACAATTGTACACTACCAATAAGAAACAGTTCTACTCGAATAGTTGTGACGAGGTAGTAAACTAAACTAAGTCACATAATCTGAAAGAAATACTGGCTTGGTCTTTAGTCTAGTAGAATGACGACTTGAACACTGATAAGAGGAATCTTCATTATGTGAGGTGTATTGATGCATGACTTGTGGCTCAAGGTCCGTGTTAAGCAAAGTTTCGTCAGGTGTTGCTGGTAAGGATAGAACAGGAGGTATCTCACAAACAGGCATGTTGGTATCTCCTTGGGTGTGTGTATTACTAGTTATATCACCAACAAACTCGTTGGGGTCCTCTGGTTCTAGATCACATCTTGACCTTGGACTCTGAAATGTGAATGTTGAGTCAGGAACACGGTAACACTCAGTGACTTTAACCTGGTAGGGTGCTGATCGTAGTTGGGAACCAGAAAATTTACGAACAGTACACCCATTTCCGTCGGTTGAAATGACGATATATCTATCACGAGCAGCGAGTTTATTACCATCGCAAGTGATATATACAATGTCACCCGTTTCGACGGGTGGAGAAGAAGGCTTTTGTCGGCCAGGGGCTTTAGCTCTTTCACTGTGGGGATGATTAGTAAGACGCTGGTTATGCTGGTCCTGGATAAGCTTTACATCGGACATATGTATCTGGTCGTTTGAAAACTGATCACGTTGTGTCCACATTCTCACGCGGAAAGTCCTCTGTTGCGTATTCTGGAATTCATTCTAGCGGTGGTGATGGCAAGAGTTAAAGGAGTAATAAATCCACCACCTGGGTTAAACCGAAGTAATTCTTCGGTAAGTTCCAAAATTGCATGCTCAGCCACTGGATTTTTGTTGATATTCTTGGGTCTGCCGATATCTAATGTGATGCCATGTTCCTGAAGGAGTTGATCGTTGAGAAGACCCTTAAAGGCTGGTGCAGGGTCAACTCGGATACTTATGACGGTGTCAAGAGGTATCATCACAATGCATAATTGTATGAGTGCAGAACGAAGGGTAGACTTTTGTTCATCTTCTATAATGCACGAAGTAGTGTATGACGTGACTGTCTCTCAGAGAATAAGTACATATTGGCGATTTCGTTTCATAACATCAGCGGCAAATGTTAATCCTATTCGCTCAGGGGGTTCAGATGTTGACTGTTCCTGAAGAGTAACAGGGATTTTCTTCAAAGATGCACATAGATGACACCTAGTTGACGTTGAGTCGATGGCTGCATCGATATCTAAGGCATAAAAGTGTCTTTGAAATAGGAGCTTTAGCTGGTGCTTAGAAGGGTGGTTGAATTTTATATGTAATGCAACAAGTAGGCCATCCAAGACTTGACGTGGAACGATGGTGCATTCATGTGTACTAGATAGTGGATCATCGCGTTTCACTACTAGGAGGCCATTCCTTCCAATTGAAGCTGTTCGAAGATATCGCTTGATATCTTTGATATTGGTAAGTTTCTTCGATGGTCTTGTTCCCTGGGTCAGATGAGCGTGAACACGTCTAAGATCTGAACACTCGTGTTGCATCTGTTGCCATGTTGATGGGCTTGTGTATGGTATCTTGGAATTGCCAGATAAGACATCCTCTGTTAGCGTAGACCTGATGACACATGCTTCACAAGCAGTAATAAATGTACAAACTTGGCAACTGGGTTAAGAACATTCCGGGGCATTGCGGCTTGCAAAATCTGATGGTACATTGGCTGAACCGGCAAGATGCTGAATGTTGACATGCATGGTATCGGCTTTATGTAGAAAGGAAGGTTGTCACTCATGCACTGGCAGAAAATTCACCCCAACACAACTTTTGATAAGCTTTAACGCAAGGTTTGCTGTCAGTAAGAACTGATGCTTGATGTGTAGATTGTATGATATATGGTGAGAAATGCCTGATAGCAGCCGTTATGGACAAAGCTTCAATTTCGCAAGGCAACCATGTTACTTGGTGTTTCTTTAGTTTTGCGCTGAAAAAAACGGCCAGATGAAGTTTTCCATGTCGAGAGACATACAGGGTAGAGCCAAGAACAGTCATCTTTACAGATCCATCAGTAACAATCCATAAATGGTCATTAGGTCGAGGCAGGACGATCTGTTTATTGAACTGAAGTGCATTCTGGGCTTCTTTGAAAGATGAGGTAAGGGAGTCAGTCCAATTAATCAGTTCCTGAGAGTCTTTTCCTGCAATAACATTCTCGAGAGGACTAAGGAGAACGGAAGAATGTTGGATAACTCTTGACAATACTTTATACGCACCAATAAACGATCGAAGGCCTCTGACGAAGGGCGTGACGAAGTAGATAAAGCCGATATTCTGTGTTTTCCTGCTTTAATTGTTCCATCAGTCCAAATCCACCCAAGAATTGTGGTTGTTTTCGGACATATTAGAGTCTTCGATGCGGAGAGACGGAGGTTAGCTTTAACTAAACTACCTAATACGCGTTCCCATATGTCAAGCAGCTCTGCTGGCGTGTTACTACCACAGTAAAGGTCATCAGCTAATTTTACAACAACACCTTCGGTTAACAGGTCACCTAGAACTCTACTCATCAACTCCTCTAACGCAGTCACGGACCTAGGCATGCCCACAGAGGAACGACAATACACGAGGACTCCTTTAAAAGGGGTAGCTACGCCACAATACTTCATGGAAGAATGTGACAAGGGGATCTGATAGATTGCTTTAGTTAGATCTGATTTGATAATGAACTTCCATTTAGCTATTGTTCGGAGAGTTGATTCGACGTCAGGCATGAGGGAAGGCTGAGGCTTGCTATATTGTCTGACTTCTCCGAATGCTGTAACTAACCTGTTACCTCCATCGAGTTTCTTAATCAGGAATGATGGGTTAAGATACTCAACAATAACGCCAGCGTCTTCGGGCTGTGTTTATGCAAATTAACTGGTTGGGGGTTTGTGTTTTGAAGTCTGATTTTACCATTAATCGCCTAGATGACAGCTGGTTCGGGCCATAGTTGCTGGGTTGATTTCGCTACCAGAGAATCCATTCTTGGTTCAATGGCTAAGTAGTCATCTGTAGGGACATCGTGTGGTGTGTCGAGTTCAATAAAGTCACCAGGCCAGAGGGTAGTATTCACACTTGGGGCCCGTAAGATATGGGATATAGCGCACACAGAGTGGTGGTTAAGGCCTTTTGTGTTGTCACCATACTGTGTATATGTAGAATCTCCTATAACAATCTGATTTCTTGCTGGTCGGACCGAAATATCGTTGAAGGTCATGAAAGGCGGCCCCCCAAAATATCGACGTTGAGCTCTTCTACGACTAGTGCTTCAAGTTGTAAGTGTATACGCCCATGACTTAATGACAGGCGAGTCTCACCAACTACTGTCAATGGTGTAATGCCATCAGCTTGGAGAGCAATCTGTGAGCTTGGCTTTATTGTGGCATTTATGTAATGAGCAACAGAAGATCTAATCATGTTGGTTTCTGCACCCGTGTCGATGGTTAGGCGAAAAGGAAACTGGTTAAAAAAGGCATGGAGGTATGGTGATTGGCGTAGAGCAACGCGTCTTGATATTTGTCGAACTGTATTAATGCCGGGGTCGTCTTGAATGATATCTGTCTGGTAACTTGGGTTAGCTTCTGGATCATCCAAATTTAGAAACTCGTGGGACATGATATGATAAGGACGGTCTTTGTCGGGTAAGTATGGACATTGACTAAGGTAGTGTTGAAACTCTGGTCTACCAGATTGTCGACACAAGGGACAAATTTTGACCCTTGACTTGAAAGGATGTCGGCTAGGATATGGTTGAGTGGGTTTATTGTCACGTCGATTAGGTGTCCCTGCTGATCTCATAATGCGGACTTCTTCTGTTGTGGCTAGTTCGTCCAAAAGTGAAGGCAAAGCTTGAGATATCTCGCGTTTTATCGATGCAAGTGTTCTCTGGCGGAGTTCTGTGCCATAGCGCTGACGTACAAGACGTGGTAGACCTTCGTGTAGAAGACGAAGCCAGAAAAGTACGATGAGATTTTCGAGTGTCAGTGACATATCTTCATCAGTAAGAATGGGGTCTCCATGATGGGTGAGTCCACCCCCTTGTTTGAGCAGGTTGTCCTCAACAAATGACATAATCCGTTGAAATAAAGTTTCAGGTCTTTCCTCAGTCTTGGGCTTTATTTCTGTGAAATCAAGAAAATGCGCACCTGTGGTTTGAAATCCATAATGTAATGTTAAAGACTGCCAAATATTAGATAAAGAGTTTTTAATGATGGTATTTCTTGAGATTATAGGAGCGTAATTCGCTATTTGGCCGAGCATAAGCTCTAACATTTGGACTTTTTGTTGAGCGGTACGGCGTAAGTCTTCGGGAACTCGATTGTTATCATTAGCGAACCCCCAATTTGAATTTGCTGATGTTTTCTTTGTCCATGTAGCACCTTCAGTTAAAAATTCTGTAAAATTGGTGTCGAGTGTCAAAATATACAAAGTATTTGCCTGCCATGATTCGAACGATGGTAAAGTTTCATGTTCGGTCAACGACCATTGTTTTGGGGCCCTTGTGTTGGCCATTTTGTTCAGCGTCTGTTTAACTAATCACTGTAGAAATGAAGGCCTGTGTTGTCAATATGGCGTACGTATAGTCCACTGTCTACGTGACTTGTAGAAACACACAATGACAAACTTACTTTATTTGGTTTACTTAGAGCTTGTGAGGCGCCCGTCGGTTTGAAAACATTCACAGCCGATGCCACCACGTCAGTAAGTGAGAGAATATGGGTAACAGGGAACATAGGCTTGTTGTAAACAGCTTTAATCACTGACAGACCAAAACATAAGATCGCAATCAAAACATGGCGCTCGTTATTTATATATATATATTCCGCGCAGGCGCGTAAGTTACATAGTCCGATTCGCTGGACGCAAGTGTCTATAACAATGTTAACACTATACTAATATGCAGACTATTGTACTGGCGCACGTTCTATTGTGCTTATTACATTTTTTTATTTTGCTTTTTATTTTGATCTCCTGGGTATTCTTACACACTCTAACATCTTGCATCCCACTCTGTAAATCAAGAGAGAGAGAGAGAAATGGGGTTTAACGTCCACTCGACACAAACTAGGTCATTTTGGGACTAACACATGGTTCAATTTTATTTCAATAAATCGCTTGCGCTTAGGGGTCTTTAGCAGTGGGAGGAAACTGGAGGACCCGGAGAAAACCCACGAGGTTGGACAGGCGACCCTACTCCTTGTCTGTAAATCAAGCACTTTAAATGTGAATATAATGTTCTTGGGTATATTTGGAATACAAGTTAACTGTAATGGAATGAAATGAAATGGGGCTTAACTCCTACTTTTCTACTCCGACTGGGCTAATGAAGATGGGCATACACCATACATTGTGCTATAAGGGAAATTTTGCTTGGGCAGCAGCACTATGGCCTACTCTTATATCAAATTCCAACACCAATTTATACACAGGACCTTGGGTTTTCGTTCCATCTGAATGACTAGATAGGTGTCCTTGTCAGGCCCTTCATCCTGCACCACTGACAAGGGGAAACCACGTTGGCAAAGGGGGTGGATGACTCTAAAAACGGTGGGAGTGAACTTTTTATTTTGTCAAAGGATCAAGTCACTACTGTTGTTAATGAATTCTCACCAATTTATATCATTATGTTGTTTATAAGAATACGGTAAATGATTATCTAGTGTCATTTATGATTGTTAGTAATATTTATCAAGGTTTTGTTTCTTAACCAGCATAAAATATTTACATGAGCTCACAAATACGATTGTTTTTATTTTTTAAAATTAAAACAGGTCATGAGTCCCTTTTAAAGTGACGTGAGAGTGAGTATCGGAGAACCAGAATATTTTTTTGTATGGCCTAAAGATTAGATTTTAAAGGACAATATTGGTGTAAGAGGATACCTGACAATTCAATAAAGTAATTGAATGTCATTAGATAAGAGAACACGAGAAAAATAGAAATAGTCCGTACATTCCCTTGTTTATATTCATTCAATACCTTATAAAAACATGGTAATGCACGGATTTTTCTGTTTTTCTTTCGTGTTCTCTTATCTAGTGGCAGTCAATTCTTTTTATGAATTGTCAGATATTCTCTCACAGTCTCACACAACAACTCTTGGTCTTGGAAGGAATTATTAGTGAGCAGAAATCCGGCCGTGTATCTGTTATCACTCGTCACATCAGTCAGTTATATTGGGGTATGACTCGTGTTTTCCTTTGGCGTTCGTCACTTCCGATTCAGGAAACCTGTATTACTCAGCTATCGTAGCAATGATCTCTGTGTTAAAATTATATTTGGAACGTGTTTAATTAGTTCTATCACATATGTGTTAATGACTGACACCAATATTGTCCTTTAAGCTAACATATGAAATCAATTTTCGCCACTGATAAAAAAAATTCTGTTGCTGAAAAGGGGGTTCAACTTAATATAACAGCCTATTGAAATAAAAACAAACCTTCAACAAAAATCCATCCACTGTTCCTAATAGAACAATTGTTTGTTCATGTTGTTGTATAGAAGCTACTGCTTGGATTATCTTATCTGTGTCAAAAAATCCATTAGCTTCCATCTCTTTTTCTGATTGAATTCCACGTCTCTTTTTAATACTACAAATACTATCTGTAGTCCCATCTTGAATTTTCTGTACCTGTAAAGAGGTTATCAAGCAATTAAAAACAAGTCTTTAATAATGTGATGCTACAGTAATCGGTTAAGACACTGGTCTCTCAACTTATGTGAGCCAGGAACAATCATTAGACTTTTTCTACTCTTGGTTACCTGTATCATGTAACACCTGCAGGACTAGTAAGGAGACCGAGAAAAAAACAGCGGCTGCCAGGCAGAATACGCCCACATTTTCGAGAGATGGATAGAGAACAAGCTAAAAAGAAAGTGACTTTTCTACAATCAAGGGCCATAATTCAGGAAATTACAATTCAATATGCGCAAATATCGAAAGGAACCGAAATCTTTGGGTTATAAACTTAAATTTCAAGTTTCAACAAAATCGGATAAAAATTGTGACCTCTATAGGGTCCACAACCTTGATATACCATATTTTTAAGCTATTTGAGAACGAGGGATGGCCATTTTGTCTGTCAGTTTTGGACCGATTTTCACGAAATTCGAACTCAGTCATCCTTAGGGTGTAACAGTGATATAATAGAACGGTTTTTTAAATCATATAAAAATTATGACTTCTATAGGGTCCACAAGCTAAAAACGTGATTTTTCGTACAATCAGGGGCCATAATTCAGGAAGTTACTGTCCGATATGTGCGAATATCGAAAGGAACTGAGATCTTTGGGTTATAAACTTACATTTCAAGTTTCAACAAAATCGAATCAAAATTGTGACCTCTATAGGGTCCACAAGCTAAAAACGTGATTTTTCGTACAAACAGGGGCGGACAGACAGACGGACAGGGGCGACGGCATAATACGTCCACATGAAAATGTGGGCGTATAAAACTTTTAGGGGGTGCTACTGTCTATCAAAGTTCTAACAAAATGTGACTTTTTGGCATTTTTTCTGAAAATTTTTTGGGAAAATATTTTTGGCATGAAAGGAAATGTTGTTTCCTGGTTAATTAGAATGTGAAAAAGACAAAAATAATATTTATAAAGCTACAGAAGTGATTCCAGTGTTTTATACAGAGGTTTGAATATTGGTGACCAGGTAATCTGTAATGTATACCTGGTCATAAAATCAAGATTTTTCTGGGAATTTGTGTCTTTTTCCTAGGCCGTTACATCTAGCCCTTCTGTTCTAGCTTCCAGTGTAACCCACAGTTTGGGGACAGCAACTTCAAAAGCCTTCTTGCTGAAACTGATAAGATTTGTCTACGATATCACCTTAGGTGGAAGTGGACGTAAAACTCCAGAAACGAACGAAAGAACGAACTGATAAGATTGGCATTTTTCTCAAGGTGCAAATTATCACTGAAAGACTGTAAATGTCCACGAGATTCATAAAAACATAAAAGATTACTAATGTTATTTGTACATTTAAAAACTAATAATAAAACCTTATATTCAGTTTCATATGATCCCTGTATATATTTTATATAAGGCGAGCAGCTTTTGTACCTTTTGTACAGGACAGAAATAAAAGAATTTTGAACCTCTGTATAACACACTGGAATCACTTCTGTAGTTTTATAAAAAATATCATTTTTGTCATGTTCCCATTCTAATTAACCAGGAAACAACATGTATAACTTTTTTCCACAAAAAAAAAATGCCAAAGAGTTACATTTTGTTTGAACTTTGACAGATGGTTGCACCCTCTAAAAAATTTCTTATCTATTTCGACATAAATTGAGGGTAGCCCCTTAACTTTTCAAAATTCAGCATAATAAGGACCACCTTATACTTTTGTCAAGGTTTGACTTGGTACATGGTTGGGCATGTTTCCTTGTATATGGGATTAAAATGAAACCGCATCAGTTATATTTGTTTTGAACAACTTAACAGTTTATTATTACTATATAAAAGTATATTGTTGATTTGATATAGGTCTATCTACCATTTTACTTGCAAACTGCTTTTTTGTAACCAAAAAAACTAAGGTACCTAGCCAAACTGTGTACCAAGTCAATCTGTGACAATCTGTGTTTATCTTTTTTTATACTTACTATTTTAATGTTTTGTTTACATTTCGTTTTAGCATTAAAGATCCAAAATGGCTCTATACCTGTACCAGCTTCGTAGCAATCTAGCAGAACTTCTTGAAAATGTGACTCAATATTAGAAAGAGGAAACAGACACACAGCAGATCCACCTTTAGGATCATATTCATAAGACTGCTTCAAATTCTTGCCGGCTGCCACATATAAATTTTCGTCTGCTATGTGGGCAGCTGTTGTTACATTAAACAAAAAGTTATTACGTGTACATGCCAATTTCGTTTCCAAATATGAATAATAATTTTGATCTTGTAAACAAACACGTCCAAGTTTTGTAACAACAATACCATCTTCTTCCTGAACTTTAAGAAAATATCCATATCCTTTATGGCTGAAAGCTATTATAGCTTTAATGTAAAAGTTTGGTTTTAAAATCGGATGTACATCAAGACCAGAAAACAAATCAAGCTCCGGCTCATCAACAAAATAAGAAATATTAAAACCATGATTAAACTGTTCAATTCTTCTTGTCGATAGCAGTAGTGGTGAAAGACTCAAGTTCCTTTTATCATAGGTCTGCATAACATATAAAAAATTGATATTATTCACCAAACCAAAAAATGCTGCACTAGAAGAACGACTTCCCACAAAATTTGTAATGGTGGTTCTGTCCATGGCTTGCAGATTAGTGATATTTATTAAACTGTGCATGTGACAAAGACCTTGTTGTCCACTACCACAAACTAACAATTTACGCTTTCTATGATCAATTTCAAGTATCTTAACGTCATTAGCCATTTTGATTCTTTGTTCATGGCAACTTTCAGGAAATGGTAAACAATTTTTGTTATCATTTGTTGGACCTATTGTCACCTGGTTTTTAATTTCAAGTGCTGGATTAAGCTGAACCAAGATGTTTTGCCCCCCAACATATATTTCTCCTGTTTCATTATCAGCTATTAGTTTCTGCAACCGAGTGGATTCTCCATCAATTTCTATAACTGTCATAAAGTTTGAACAATTCGATCCACAAATTAAATTGAATAATAAAATGAATACACAGATAACAACATAACTGGAGTTAATGTAACAGGTAGACATACTGAATCATTACCTCAGTATTCTTTTAAATATGTGTCAAAGGAATGGAAGTATATTTAATGTTTGAACTAGTTCCATTTACCCAACAATCTGAAAAATATAAATGAATAATATATTTGTACAATTTAGCGAAAAATAGCATCATTTTCCATATTAATCCATATGTGGCGCTTTACTACAAGGTTCGCCATTCAGGTGCATTATGTCGTCTTTTCTTGTATTCAGAAACTGATTCTTTTGACAGATGTTTATATCCGATGAATTCAAAAATGCCAGAAATGTTTTATATGCAAAACTATTCCAAAATTCTCACATAACCATGCAATTCCATAAAATTGAAAGTAGCTTATTTAACTACAATGTCTACTTTACTGATTGCGCCAAATAATTAACATCAAACTATCCAGAGCTTACATTTCAGCTATCTTTAAGACATATTATTAATAGTAGGCAATTTTATCCATTTTGCTGAAATAGAATAGGTCCATATTAATGTGATGCTGAAACAAGCAGTTGCCATGCAAGATACGCCCACAAGTTAAAAATAAAAAGCGATTTTTCGTACAATCCGGCGACTTAATCCGAAAAGTTATCGTCCGATATGCGCGAATATCTACAGGAATCGAAATCTCTGAAATATAAACATATATTTTAAATTTCATCAAAATCAGATAAAAATTCTGTCCCCTAGAGAGTCCACAACCTTGAATAACATACTTTTACACTATTTGCGTACAAGAAACGGCAATTTTGTTGGGCAGTTTTGGTCTGATTTTCATGAAATTTGAACTCAACCATCATTAAGTTGTAACATATTTTTACTTTTTTCGGTAATGAAACATTTATAATACATTAAAATCTGATTAAGAGTAACAACTCATTAAGTAATTATCAGAAAACCATTAGAATTTGTTTAGTTTTTATAAAGTTCTGCCCCATGCTAATGTTTAGTATACAAATCTTTTAACATCTTGGATTTAGCTGTTCAAGTCATAAAGATTCTTTGAAAATCAATATACTTGTTCGTCTCAAGACCTTAAACAATGTGTATAAATTTAAAGTCAATCGGATATTTACTTAAGCCTCTAGAGCGTCCACAAGATTTTTCAAAGTGATCAAGGGCCATAAATCTGGAAAAAATTATCGGAAATAGCTGAAAATCAATAGGCTTCTTCGTCTCATGGTCTTCAACTCTGTATATAAATTTAAAGTCAATCGGATATTAACTTTAGCCTCTAGAGCGTCCACAAGAATCTTTAAAGTGATCAAGGGCCATAACTCTGGCAACAAGCCAACAGTGAGGCTGATGTCCCCCGCCGAAATTGCAAAATAAATAGATGACGCATATTAATTAATCGCACATTTATTTTTTTCACTAAGTTTCATCACTCTCTATCAGATAGAATCAAGATTATCTTGTCCCAAACCATCGACAAATGAAATTGATTAGCTCTGCTTAGCTTCAGCTCGAAATGTTAATTATTGAACTCAGTCAAGACATTCACCTAATCTACATATACATCAAGTTTAAACATTCACCTGATAGACACCTATGCCAAGTTTGAACATTCTACCTCAATTAGAAGGAGAGTTATTGTGTTCCAAAGTTTCGACCAATCAAATTGCTTATCACTCTGCTTACCCTCAGCAAAAAATGTTTATTATCGAACTTAGTTAAGGTATTCATATAATAAATCTATACACCAAGTGTCCTTACTTTCACTTAATTAGAACCAAAGTTACCGTGTCCCAAAGCATCAAACAATCAAACTGCTTATCTCTGCTTACCCTAAGCAGAAAATTCCCATCTTCAAACTCCATCAAGGCATTCACCTAATTGACACCTACGCCAAGTGTGAACATTCTAATTCAATTAAAATGAGAGTTATTGTGTTCCAAAGTCTCGACCAATCAAATTGCTTATCACTCTGCTTACCCTAAGCAGGAAATGCTCATTGTCGAACTCCATCAAGGCATTGACCTAATAAACACCTACACCAAGTTTGAACATTCTAGCTCAATTAGAAGGTGAGTTATTGTGTTCCAAAGTCTCGGGCAATCAAATTGCTTATCGCTCTGCTTACCCTAAGCAGAAAATGCTCATTGTCGAACTTAGTCAAGGTATTGATGTAATAAAACTATACACCAAGTTTCATCTCTCTGACTTAATTAGATCTAAAGTCATCGTGTCCCAAAGCATCAACCAAATTGCTTATCTCTGCTTACCCTAAGCCGAAAATGCTCATCTTCGAACTCCATCAAGGCATTGACCTAATAAACACCTACACCAAGTTTGAACATTCTAGCTCAATTAGAAGGAGAGTTATTGTGTCCCAAAAAGTGTGACGGACAGACGGACGGACGGACAGGGGTGACGGCATAATACGTCCACATGAAAATGTGGGCGTATAAAAATTGTGACCTCTATAGGGTCCACAACCTTGATATACCATATTTTTACGCTATTTGAGAACAAACGGCGGCCATTTTGTCTGTCAAGTTTGAACATTTTCACGAACTTCGAACTCAGCCGTCCTTAGGGTGTAACGGTGATATAATAATACGTTTTTTTAAATCGGATAAAAATTACCTCTATAGGGTCCACAAGCTAAAAATGTGATTTTTCGTACAATCAGGGGCCATAATTCAGGAAGTTATAGAAAGGAGCCGAGATCTTTGGGTTATAAACTTACATTTCAAGTTCCAACAAAATCGGATAAAAATTGTGACCTCTATAGGGTCTACAAGTTAAAAAAGTGATTTTTCGTACAATCAGGGGCCATAATCCATGAAGTTTCGATCCGATACATGTCAATATCGAAAGCAGCCAAAATCTTTTGGGGATAAACCTATATTTCAAGTTTCGGCAAAATCGGATAAGAATTGTGACCTGTAGAGAGTCCACAAACAATTGTGGACAGACGGACAGGGGCGACGGCATAATACGTCCACATGAAAAAGTGGACGTAAAAACTGTGACCTCTATAGGGTCCACAACCTTGATATACCATATTTTTTACGCTATTTGAGAATGAACGGCGGCCATTTTGTTGGTCAATTTTGGGCCGATTTTCACGAAATTCGAACTCAGCCGTCCTTAGGGTGTAACGGTGATATAATAATACGTTTTTTTAAATCGGATAAAAAATATGACTTCTATAGGGGCCACAATCTAAAAACGCGATTTTTCGTACAATCAGGGGCCATAATTCAGGAAGTTACGGTCCGATATGCGCAAATATCGAAAGGAACCGAGATCTTTGGGTTATAAATTTACATTTAAAGTTTTAACAAGATCAGATAACCAGCGGCTGCCAGGCTGAATATGCCCACATTTTTGAGAGATGGATAGAGAACAAGCTAAAAAGAATGATTTTTCCTACAATCAAGGGCCATAATTCATCAAGTTACAATTCGATATGTGCAAATATCGAAAGGAACCAAGATCTTTGGGTTATAAACATGCATTTCAAGTTTCATCAAAATCGGATTAAAATTGTAACCTCTCCAGGGTCCACAACCTCAATATACCATATTTTTACACCTTTCGCGTACAAGCGGCGGCCACTTTGTCCGACAGTTTTGGTTTGATTTTCAGGAAATTTGAACTCAAACTTTATTATGGTGTTACGGTGATATATTCAAACGATTTTTAAAATCAGATTATAACTGTGACCTTCAGAGGGACCACAAGCTAAAAGAGGCGATTTTTCGTATAATCAGGTGCCATAATTCATGAAGTTACGATCCGATATGCGACAATATCGAAAGGAACCAAGATCTTTAGGTTATAAACATGCATTTCAAGTTTCATCAAAATCGAATTAAAATTGCGACCTCTACAGGGTCCACAACCTTGACATATACCTGTTTGTAAGAAAAATCGCGATTTTAGCTTGTGTACCCTGTAGAAGTCATAATTTTTATCCGATTTAAAAACCTGTATTATTGTATCATCGTTACACCCTAAGGACAACTGAGTTCGAATTTCGTGAAAATATGGTACATGTATATCAAGGTTGTGGACCCTATAGAGGTCACAATTTTTATCCGATTTTGTTGAAACTTGAAATGTAAGTTTATAACCCAAAGATCTTGGTTCCTTTCGATATTCGCGCATATCGGACCGTAACTTCCTGAATTATGGTCCCTGATTGTATGGAAAATTGCGTTTTTAGCTTGTGGACCCGATAGAGATCATAATTTTTATCCGATTTAAAAAAACGTATTATTATATCACCGTTACACCCTAAGGACGACGGAGTTCGAATTTCGTGAAAATCGGCCCAAAATTGACAGACAAAATGGCCGCCGTTCGTTCTCAAATAGCGTAACAATATGGTATATCAAGGTTGTGGACCCTAAAGAGGTCACAATTTTTATACGATTTTGTTGAAACTTGAAATGTAAGTTTATAACCCAAAGATCATGGATCCTTTCGATATTCGCGCATATCAGCCCGTAACTTCCTGAATTATGGCCCCTGATTGTAGGAAAAATTACGTTTTTAGCTTGTGGACCCTATAGAGGTCATAATTTTTATCCGATATAAAAAAACGTATTATTATATCACCGTTACACCCTAGGGTCGACTGAGTTCGAATTTTGTGAAAATCGGCCCAAAATTGACAGACAAAATGCCCGCCGTTCGTTCTCAAATAGCGTAAAAATATGGTATATCAAGGTTGTGGACCCCATAGAGGTCACAATTTTTATCCGATTTTGTTGAAACTTGAAATGTAATTTTATAACCCAAAGATCTCGGTTCCTTTCGATATTCGCGCATATCGGACCTTAACTTCCTGAATTATGGCCCATGATTGTACGAAAAATCGCGTTTTTAGCTTGTGAACCCTATAGAGGTCATAATTTTTATCCGATTTCAAAAAACGTATTATTATATCACCGTTTCACCCTAAAAACAGCTGAGGTCGAATTTCATGAAAATCGTCCAAATATTGATAGACAAAATGCCCGCCGTTCGTTCTCAAATAACGTAAAAATATGGTATATCAAGGTTGTGGACCCTATAGAGGTCACAATTTTTATCCGATTTTGTTGAAACTTGAAATGTAATTTTATAACCCAAA